GGGTAAACTTGTCCTAATGAAGTTTCTTTTGAGTTTCAAAAAATAAAAAAATAAATGTTCTTGAATAATAGATAAAGCTCATGTTTGGTGAAAATTAAAATCAGATTTTTAATAGATTTTGATAGAAGTTGATGAAATGAGTGGTTGAAAAATTGTGGGACCCGTAAAATATGTCGTTAAAATTAACTTGTGTTTGACGCCCATTTTGGGGAGAAAAAATGAATTTTGGAGTAGTGATTGATGGAAGAATGTTGGGTTGAAAAGTAATGAAAAGTTTTAAATTTGTGTGTAATATCATTTTGTTTGGAGAATGTGTGATTGAAATGAGGAAAGAGAAAAAAAATGAGAATGAAAATAGATGTCAAACGGGGCATTAATTGTTAATTTTGAATTAGATTAAAATCTAAATTTTAATATGTATCAACCAGAGGCTTAATAAATTATTTTTTTTAATTACAAATTTAATAGTATTTCTTTTAATTTTATTTTATGTACTCTTGAAGTTTACATTATATTATCATTTTTTTCATGAAAAATATTTTTCAACGTTTGAAATATGTCTACTTTTCATTTTTTATTTGTTTTCCTCAAAGTAAAGAATTTTTTTCTAAATGACATTTTTCATGTCAATCAAACACACTCTAATATTATCATAACATAATATATGAAAAAATAATTGGCATCAAAGTTTATAGTTTACATTTTGTTTTTAGCTCATGTTTTTAGAAAACAACGAAATATACCTGATAATTTTAATTTGTTAGTTTTTTAAAAGGAAAAAACCAAATGGCCAAGGCCACATGCAGCAAAACCCTTTTTTCAAAGGAAAAACTAATAAATAAAAGTTTAACTATAACTCATTTCAAAACTAAATTAAAATGTTAAAATTTCAAAAATCAGACATTTATTAAATTTTATTTTTGAAATAATTAATTAAATATATATTTTATAAATTAAATATAAGGTCTCAATTTTATACAATTTAGTCACAAATTATCAAATTAATTAGTTACAAATAATTTTTCAATCACAATTAAAATTTTTATAAATAACAAATTATTTAACAGTCACAAATTTATCAAATTAATAGGTCACATATTATTTGTTGATCACAAATAACAAATCTTATAAGTTGCAACTTATTTCATGGTTACATCAAAATAATTGGCCACAAATTACGTTTAGATCACAAATTAACAAATTTTTAGGTCACACGTTATTTATTGGTCATAATTTATATATTTTATTGGTCACATTATTTATTGATCACAAACAATCAAATCAATTTGTGACAACCACCAACATTTGTGACTACCATCTCACCACTGCTACCAACAGCATCATCGCTAAAACCATCGCAGCAAGAGCCATCACCGCCACCATCTTTATCAACAAAACCCTCATCTCAAACACTGCAACCAATAAATACCACCAACCAGCCTACCACTCCACAACCACAACCCCCACAAAAAAATCTCCAAATTTACCTCTGGCACTACAACCACTGCTTGTTTCAACAATAACCACCATCGTCACCATCACCGTCGCATCAACCACGTCACCACCACACACAACCCACCACAACAAC